GTTAAAAATTATATTCTGTGAATTAAATGTACAAAAGTTTTAAAAAATAGACAAAAATGTATGTATAAAAATATAAAAAAAATTATAGAATAGGTAAATTTTTGATGCACACATTTTTTTATATAATCTGTGGTAGTTATTTTATTTGATGAAAATTCTCGGATAATGTTTTCAATGAGCTCCTGTTTTTTGTCGGTTTTGGTGTATTTACACCACTTCTAGCTTTAATTTGTGTTTCGGAATGTATTTCGGTTAGTATGTCAATAACCTTAAAAATATTAGGATGAGCAGAATTGAATTCGTTGTTAAATCTGCTGTGGAACGATTCACAGCCATTTGTGGTCAAAGCAAGGGAATAACTTATTCCTAACCTAACCTAACTTATAAGAACTTTTTTCGACGGGAGCCGTTTGGGAATTTACCTGTTCGTAAAACCTTTTTCAACCGGAGCCGTTTGGGTATTTACCTGTTCGTAAAACCTTTTTTGACGGGAGCCGTTTGGGAATAATAAACAATAGACGGGAGCCGTTTGGGTATTGACGCTTACAAATATATTACAATTCAGCCTTTTTAGTTTGAAAATTAGAGTGAATTGAGCTCTTATACGATTTAAAGGTAAGAGTATTATCTAGTGCACTTCATGGAGTTTTTTTATATTTTAATTTTCAAGCAAGTTATGATTATTTTAAAATAGTCAATTACTTGTGCATTTTAAAATACTCATAACTTGCTTTTAAAACTAAAATCTAAAATAACACTATTGGCAACACTTGGGTATTTTTAAATGGTTAATATTATATGATATCCCTAACCCACTGCAACTGAACTGCTAAAACATATCGCAAAACACTCAATTTTTGTGTTTATAATTAAAATATTATGCAAATTAAGTAATTTGACCATTTATATTAAAATGCGGAGGTTTATGAACATAATTAAACATATTTGTAAACAAAAAACGCTGCTTATATAAACATACCAATGAATATAAATCCTAGCCGTAATTACCTGTACTAGGTCAAAGTATCTATAGTCAGTGAATCTCAAGCGAATCAAATAATTGGAAGAAATAAACCAGATGGAGAATCTTGTGGTGAAATATTAAATTGCACTGGAAAAATGGAATATCAACCTGTGCAGAGACATTTGTCAACCAATTTCCGGTAAATTTGGACTTTAAATGTACTGTCTTATAAGTCAGTCAAATAATAATTTGTATTTAACTATAATAGAAGTATGCAACTCAAGAAAATTAAGCGTACTGAAAAAAAAGGCACAGAATCTGTTATGGATGAAAAATTTTCAATTTTGTTTTCTTCCAAATTTTTCATTGGTAATGAACTCCAATTTGAGGTAAGTTTTGTTGTCATTTTTAATTTGTAGTACTTAAACAAATATCAAAATTAAATACAAACCGCATGAAGTTAATCAATGGAAAAAATTAGTACCATATAGTAACATATCTCTATTTGAAAATATTTCATTACTGATACATTCTACTGATTTTGATTAAAATGTATTAGAGAAATAATTTAGAAGGTACCTATTACGTCATATAATTTATATAATACAGATATTAACAAAAAGTGTTGAATGTGTAATATTTAAAAATTATTTTAGGTGTGGAATTTGTCATTACCTGTGGTAGTTATTGTGCATGGGAATCAAGATCCTCATGCTTGGGCTACTGTAACTTGGGATAATGCTTTTGCTGAACCTGGCCGTGTTCCATTTAATGTTCCTGATAAAGTACCATGGAGAAATGTGGCAGAAGCTTTAAACATGAAGTTTTCTGCAGCTACAGGCCGTGGTCTCTCAGAAGAAAGTTTGACATTTTTGGCTGAAAAAGCCTTTAGGTAAATAGATAAGTTTAAAAATAATTTAAATTAATATGATGAATAATTTAAATATATTTTCAGAATGCAAAATGTGGATTTTAATCACATGGTGTTGTCATGGTCGCAATTCTGTAAAGAACCATTGCCACAAAGAAGTTTCACATTTTGGGAATGGTTTTATGCCGTGATGAAAATAACTAGAGAACATTTAAAAGGCCCTTGGACTGATGGGTAATTACTTGAAAATAGTTGTATGTATTATATTATGTTGACTTGGTATTTTAACACAAAATGTGTAGTGCCATTATGGGATTCATAAGAAAGTCTGATGCAGAAGAGATGTTGACAAGATATGCCACGGGTACATTTTTATTAAGATTTTCAGATTCAGAACTAGGTGGGCTAACTGTTGCCTGGGCTGGATGTAAGTTCTACTTTTCTTTAGGTTAATAATGAAAGATTTACTTATTTTAGTATTTTTTGTTATTTTTCAGCCAATGATTCAGATGCGTATAGTTTACATCCTTTCTCAGCTAAAGATTTATCAATTCGAAACTTGGCTGATAGACTATTGGACTTGCCATATCTCACAAAGTTATATCCTGATATTGATAAAAATCAAGCATTCGGAAAATACTATACACAACCACCAAGTATTCATATATTTTTATTTTAACAAATAAGTTTTGTTTTTAAACTAAACATACTTAATTTATATTATAAATTGTGTCAATTCATGAAATCATTCTAATATAATTCTCCGAACTTTCCTGAATTAGGCTGAACAATATTAAATTATAACACACTATTCAGATAGTCATCAAGTCCTGGCCGAGATCACAAATAATTCAAAACGTCTTGAGCCTTGAACAATTCAGGTTTACGATAACCATTAAAATGCATTATAATTATCATAAAGTGTTGCTTCCCCCAATAATCTTGTAAACTTTCTAACTGTAATTAATTTTTATCTGTCATCTGGTATTTTGTTCTATTTTTACATGTTTTCTCAAGTATAACTTTGATTTAACATCATGACAAATATAAAATTGTGAGTCATAACATAAAATTATTTGTTATTTTATGTGACTTATGTTTTGTAACATTGTTGTGAAATCAAAATAAATAGTATTGTTCTTTTTTCTTGTGATAGTGAAAATCAAGTGGTAGGTTGGTGAATTTTTAACATTGTATTTAATAACATGTCTCCAAATCAGTTATGTTGATTTACTGAAAAAATGCAATATTCATACTCTTTTATTAAACAGGGAAACCAAATAACAATTTTTGATGAATATGTAAGGAGAGCATGAAAGGTTTTATTTTCTTAGGCATGGATACTGTACGCATATAATAAAGATTTTCAAATTAGGAATAAGATTTAATTTGATTTTTGTGGATAAATTATACACCCCCTGTATCTTTTAAAATTGAATGTCCTGTTTTTTAATATGAAATTAATAATAACCCTATTCTAAAAATAGTATTTTCTTTAAATTTAAAATTATGACTATGTTTCATATATTTTATTTTCATAATTTAGATATTAGCACACCTGTTACAAGTAATGGTTATTTAAAGCCTTTACTGGTTACGCATGTTCCTGGTTGGGGCGGACCTGGAACCAACGGACAAGGAATGAATAGCTATCCAAACACTCCTCAGAACCACATGTTTCATGTAAACAGCCCTGGAAATTGTAGCATTAGAGAAACCTCATCAGTGCACAGTGAACCAGTAAATAAGTAAGAATATTTCCAATAATGTAATGCACAATTGTTTTTAGCTTGAATTTAGTTTTGTTTGAGTTTAAAAGAGATTATATTAATTAGAAGTGAGTGAGTAAATTTACAATTTTAAATAAAGTTATGTTTTTAATTTTAATTAAATATTAAATATTTATCACTATTAACAGGTTGTTGATTATAGGTATCTTTAATTGTTGTATTTGAGTTTTCACTTCTGTTTCACAGGCAGTTTGATTTGGTGACATGGGGGCAGTGATCTCCTGGTATGTTTTGTGTATGTATATCTTATTTTCATAAATAAGATGTATAATATATTATAATAATTTTTTGGTTAAATTTTCCTATCTTCATTCAAATTTTGAACAGCTCGTGTAACTTAGAAAATATTTTAGATATTTATGTAATTAAGATAAGACAGGAAATATTGTTCATTTTTTAAACATCCCCATACTCAATTTACCATTAAATATTCTAAATTCAAACAAATTTGTATAACATATTAATATTTTATGCAACTTTTATTGATTATTTATTATTTTATTAATTATTAATTATTTACCTTCAAATAATATACAGTCAAATTTGATTATAACGATCTTCTAGGGACCTAGGGAATCTGATCGTTATAACTGACCTTCATTATACCCGGATCATGAAAAGTAACATGAAATTTTTGAAAAATTGATTTATGAAACAAATTTTTTACTCTTTAATTTTGTTTAAGATTACATATTTTAACATTCAAAGTATTTATAATTTTTTAATAAAATTACATAATATATATAGTATATATTTAAGATTTGTTTGAAAAATAATCTATTATAGTGGGTTGTTTATAATTTGAATAAGATTTTTAACAAAATTAGAAACATTGTTTATTGCCATTGATATTTCTGGCGTATTTATATAACTGTTTACCGAAACAACAGTACGCACCTGATTAATATCAAAATACATTTTCGAAACAGACGTTACTTTGAATGGTACTCTTTGACGGTCTTTCATTTGACATTTTTAACTTATACGGAAAGTGTCTAAACGGATGACAATTAAAACAGGGACTAAGAAACGTATGCTGTGTAATGTATATTGTATACAATACGGTCGGACAAGACACATTATCTGTTACAGATAAGATTAGGAATTATAACACTCTGAATGAAATCAAATTTACTACACAATGTACATATTATTAATCGCTATAGGTTATTATAAAAACCAATATTCGTTTCAAAATAAAATCGCTATATCCGGATTATCGTTATAACCGATATTGTTCTATACGATTAAAAGTACTAAATATAACTTATAAAACCAACCAAATACACTGCTTGGAATCGTTTTACCCAAAATATTGTTACATACACCCGGCAATTTGACTGTATATATATAATCTAAATATTATCATCAGACACTCATTATCAACTAGTTCTTGTTTCATTAAACCCAGATTGGCTTAACTTTGGGTGTGTGATCAGCTTGTATTTTATTTAAATAGAAATATTATGTAAATTATATTATTTTGAATTTGTATAGATCCAAACTTATATGCTTGCTCACTTCTAATGATTTTTTTTTTTATTATTCTCGTGAGTGGTGTACATAGAATAAATTTCACTCAGTTATTGGTTTAGGGATCAAGTTCACAATTGAAAACTGATTTAATTTTGAATATATATGTTAAGTGTATAATAATTATTACTATATCTTTATTCCTGTGTTGTGCTACATAATATTAAAAGAGCACAAAACAAAAAAAAATTACTGTTTTAATTTGAAAGCATGTTCAATTTTAAGAATAATGGTATAGGTTTAGCGTTTATACTCTTTTATCCAATGAGCCATGCTAAATTAACTTAAAAAAATAAAAATAAATAACTTCACTGGCCAGAGCTCGTGGTAATTGCCTATCTTATAAGTGTAAAAATTACTCGTTTCACACAATAATTTTAATACCTTTAAAGTATATTTTTAAACTTTTGTTGTATGTATGTGGTATGTATGTTTTTGTGTACTAAAAATGTTAATGGAACCACCATTTTTCTAAAATGTTTAGTTATTTTTTGAAATATTTAAAAAGTGTGTCTAAATACATCGACGCTCTGTGCCGCTGTAACTGCAATATGTATATACAGCGGCACAACTGCAATATGTACATAACAAAAAAACTCTTAGTATTTTTAATATTAAAAAAAAACCAAATTTTGTATTTAAATTCTGATACTTCTATTGTCTTTAGAACAAAAAACCACATATTTTTACATAAATTAAACATCAAAAATAAAATGTTTAAGTTGGTAAATCATTTTATAAAGCGAGAAACTTTTACACGCATACGATGGGCTATTATGCCGGCTTGGCCCAATGATATCACACAGCTTATTCTGATAGTTATCCCAGTAGTTCCTAAAATAATTTTTTTTTTTTTTTGATTGAATTCTGACAAAATCATTATTAGTATACCTTACTATAATGATTGAGCATTTAATTAAAATTTGTATTTTGTGTGTGCTTCTTTAAATATAACAATAAATTAAAGGTAGGTCTATAATAAGTACTATGTACACTACTAACTTCATACTAATATTTATGTAATCAGCACGAACCTATATCAATTTTTTGCCATTTTATTATTTTTTTTTTTCGGTATATATAATGCATGACCATACTTTTTATTAATATTATGTAAATATTATATGGAGCCTTTAAATTTAAATTTATTAACAAATCATTAAATTGTTACAAAATATATTATTAATTGCCCATCAAAATAAAATACCTATTAAATAATGAAATCTAAATTAATTAACTTCAATTCTTTTAAAATACAAATAAAACAATTAAGCACTAAGTAATGTCAAAGCCTTTTAATTAAAGCCCGTTTCTTTTTCATTTACAGTAGTTGTCATTTATTTGACATTTAATATAATATTTTTGTTCTCAAATTATATTTAAATGACCTATGAAAAATCAATGTAATATATATCATTTTTTTTTAGTCTAAACTCTAATTATTTTTAAATATGTTTGTTAGAGGCATAATCACTGACCATACAGAATTTAAATTACTAGCGCAGGCAAATCTAATAAGTTTCTTAATGCCTGTTTGGTAAATGTTTCTAGTTCTGCTTATGATTAGCAGTATAATATGACACAGCATTCTAGCATTTACATTACTTTAATTTAAATATAAACAATATGTGTTTTTTGTCTTATACTTAAAATAAGCAAAATAAAAAAATAGATATTTTTCTTGAGTGATCATTAATATAATATTGTATTAATAATATGTGATGTAATAACTAATGTCACAAATTACTAAATTGTGTCTGTTTATTAATACTACATTTTGGGCAGGGATGTCAAATCATATTAGAGAGCAGATTTTGCATAAAAAATACTGTTATAATCACCTTCTTTTTCTATGTTCATTGGTGAATATTATATAATCTTTAAAATTGTAATTTGATAAATCATGATAAAAATAATACTGACTATAATAAATGATAACTACTGTACCAATAGCTGTATATAATGGTTATTTATATTTTATATAAAAAAAATATACATTTAATTTATATTCAATACTAGACTTTGTTAGACACACTTATTTATATTTTATATCCTTAACTTATAAAGAGACATATATTATTATTTTTACAAAGGTTCCAAATATTATCATAAAAAATTAAGTGTAAAATGTATTTATATTAAAAAAAAAAAAAAATTTTTAATTTTGCTTTAACTCAACAGTACATCTGAAAAGTACCGTCCAGGGTCGTTTTTTTCAGCCGCCATCCTATGACGGGATTTAGAAATGCCTGTACTATGATCCTGGGATAAAGTTCCGAGTCAATTTGGATGTTAATTTTTTTTTATTATTATTATTACATCTGTTACCTTATTTTCATTAATATTCATCGATAGAATAGATCATCAGATAAACCTAACGCCTTTAGTATACTCCTTGTCTTGTTAGATTATATAGGTTGCATTTATATATTAAGAACTGTATTTTAAAACATAGTACTGAAGTATGATTGATTTTATTTGATACAAAAAATAAGAAAATTAAGAAAGTATGTTTAAAACATAATAGTGGCTTTTGAAGGTGTGCTTTGAACCATAGATTTTATCATAGGTAGGCTAACACTTATGTGTTAAAAATTTTTAAATTTATTTAAACTTAGGTTTTAACAAATCATTGTCCCATGCAAAAAGTGACAAAGTGAAAATTTTTAAGATTTTATTCTGAAGTTTTTATTTTGTATTGCTCCATAAGAATTTAATAGTTTCACTTGGTCAATTTTTGCACTTTGGGAACTGTGTTGTGATTCAAACATGCAAAAATTGATCAAGGGAAATAATTAAATAATTAGTAACAATACAAATTTCAAATTTCAAAATAAAATTGTAAAGCGTTCACTTGGTCAATTTTTTAGTGACGACAAGGAAATATTTTAATTCATACTTTCAGTATTGATCGCTTTTGAATCTCAAACATAACTGAAAACAATTAAAAAGATTGCATTAAATGTATTGAGTACATATTGAGTACATATTTTACTCATTTTAGTATTGTTAAATTTATGTATTATAATATGAATGTTTTATTTATTTTATTGGCTTAAAAAATATATATTGTTTTGCTTATTTAGTATGATGGCATTTGGAAATGATTCCTTAGAAATGGATTTTTCTTCGAACTTAAATGACATATCGCATGTGGATGAAGCGTTTTTTTAAAAATAATTTAGATATATTATCTTATAGTCTAGTTTAGGTAAGCCATTCAATGCCATAATGATTAAAGTATGCATTAAACTGCTTGTGTTAGTTTGAAACTTTGATGTAATTCCTTAATTTTTTTTTTTATAATTTTTAGTATATAAAATATTGACGTACGTATTTTACTCAATTGATATGAGCAAACCATTTTTGAAACCAATTTGAGTGTATAGTTTTATTATTATTTATCATCATTGATTTATTCTTTTATTTGAATTATGCATTTATTATTATTACCTTAGATTAATTATTATTTGTGTATATTATTAAATATAATTTTTGTGATCATCAAGTCCTTATGGTGCTTAGTTAACAAACTGCTTCGTTTCGCTGTTATTACTTATTTTATTATTTTTATCATTATTATTATTATTATTATTATTATTATTATTATTATGTTTAAATATTATGTCAAAACATTATTCCATCAATATTGATCAGGTAATTATTTTGGTTTTATACTTAAATATATCTTTAGTATGTAGTTGTACTTATTCATATGTTATTATTTGCATTGATGTATACATTACTGTTAAATCACTAAGAATGTCTGCTTTTTTTAATATAGCTAATTTCATATTTGATCAAAATAATTATTGGTGTTTTTCACATTTTTTATCAATTATTGTTTCTGAATTTTAAATTGTAACTTTTTTACTTTTTCATACATTTTTATTTCAACGAAGTGTGTATCTATGATGATATAAGTTCAATCGACATTCTTGGTGATTTTTCGTGGATAATTTGTGTGTATAACAATAATGTACTTAAAAACCTATGTTTTTTTATGTTTGAACAATTTTATCATCAAAATATTTTTACACACAATATTTTATTATTATATAAGTATAATTGTATCGTTTACTTAGTAGATCATCTATTGTAATTTTGTATTCAAAATTATTTCCTTACTTATTTAAATATTAAAATACTCTTACACATTTAATTTAATTTAATGATATAGTATGCACAAACTTAATGAATTCAATTCAATTTGAATAGATAGACAAATAGCTATGTTTAAAAATAAACATTGAATTTCATGTTTTATCCTATAAATTGTTCGTCAACATTTTTTTTCTTCATAATGATTGTTCTTAACACTTAACTAGCTTCAACAAATAAAATTCGTTTTAACTTTTGAAGGGGATTGATAGTGGTTATTTACTAGCTTGGCTTAGACAATTGTGTGTTCATGTATTTAAATTGCGAGAAGTAAACAACAATTAATTATTATGAATGAGTAGATATGTTTCGAACATGTACACATGAACCTAAAGTACAATTACTATTTCATTGTATACAAAATGTTAGTTTCATGACATCAATTGACTTAAAGATGTTACGAAAAATGTTGAAAACCAACTTGAATTTATCTGTTTAGTGTTTCAGTTTACTAAAGATTGTCTTGTATTTTTAAATTTTTTTTGATAAATAATAATATAGGCATTTTTAACTTTTGCAGCCTAGATTAAAAGTCAATCTAATTCAACTTTTAATAAACTCTAAATTTTTACTAGAATTCTAACTCAATTTCCTTGGGTTCTCATTTGGTTCATTATTGATGACAAGATAATAATCATTGGAATAAAAATAAGTAAAAACTACACTCAATCCCTTTCATTAAAATAAAATGTATTTTTAAAGAACTCTCAATTGTTGCTTTTCAAAAACGTATGTTATGTTTTATAATAATTATGGTATTTATACTTAAATATGGATGTATGTTTTAAATGTGTTTTTTAACAATGAGAAAATACCTAAAATTGTATTTTTAAATTAAATATTGGTGTTTATATTGTAATGTTTGTTGTAAATGTTTTATGTGTAAAAATTAATCAATCCTATTCAGGGTCAGTGTGGTAGAAATTTTTTTCTTGGAAAGTAGTCAAGATTGTTGTAATATAATTGTTTAGCAGTGGTCTGTATTTGAATATAGTGATACATATTTATATTGTATCATTAATGAATGAACGTGGGCACCAAAAACTATATCACAGATGAGGCTCAAATAGGAATACCTGTCCCCTACTGTGGTCAGGCTGATCCTGTTCCTAATATCCTTTTTTTATTATTATTATTACAATAAACAAGAATATATTTATCATCTGTTATAAAAATGTATACAACAGAAGTGCAAAAGAGGAGAATTGAGAAGAGGTTTGATATTGGTGGATTTGAATGTGAGGTTAGAGTGAGGGAGAGATTACTGACAAACCAGGAGTATTGGTGATGAGGTTAAGGCAAATTGACATATTTTAATATTCAATGTCTTCGCTGTCCCACCCCTCCCCATTAATGAATACTGTAGGTTATAATTTGTTTAAAAATTTAGTGTTTGATAATATCCTGGTTTTTATTTAAGTTTACATAAACTATTATAATACATATTATTATCACTATAAATGTACTCGTATATGTTTTTATGTGTTAAGAAAGGTATTGACATTGTGCTCACCTATGCAAGGAGTGTTATGTTATAAATTATGTTAATAAATTTAAAACCAATTGCAAACCAAAAATAATTCTTAGACGAGATCAAATTAAAAAGGTTTGAAAGTCACTACTCTAATGTACAGTAGGTATTGAGAATACCTTGTCATTGAAGAATAACGAACTGTAATCATGGGCTTGTGCAGATTCTTTGTTCTGTGGTTGCAAATTTTAAATTGGGAAACAAACATTTTGAAAACCATTTGGTACAAGCAATTTTTTACAATGTTAACAATTCTTATTTACCAACAAATCTATTTATGTACAAATAAGTGTATGTATAGAGAAACTAAAAAAATATAAAAATTAACTTTTTACTTAAACTTAAAAGTTTTTATTTTGGATCATTAATACTAATTTATCAATTGCTATGCTCATTTTATATTCGATTTTTTCATATGTAGAAGTGCTAGAACTCATTTTCAGTAAAGCTTCAAAAACGAAATTTAGGTAATAAAATTGTTCTCATAAAGAATATAGCAAACAACAAAATATTAAAAACTAACTAATGCATTTGGGTCTTTTTTTAGCAATTAGGCCTCCAGTGGCATCCCCAGCACCCCCAGTGCATGTGCATATAACTAATGTACACTTGTCAAATTTCATTCAATAATAAATCTTTAAATACAAAAATGACTAAGCAGAAGACAGTCTATCAGCATAGGCGACACTAAAGTCATACTATGGCTTGATATAATACTGACTTGAAATTTTTAATTTATTTTTTTCTTATTTATCATTAAGCATCATTAAAATATCCTAATAAAATTGTCTAGTTCCACTTATGTCTGTCAGCCTACTTTTAAAAGTAACTTTACTACTAGTAATAGCTTGAATGCAATTTTTGCAGAAGATATTTCACTTGAAAATGTCATTGTGCGTATTAAATATAATAATATAAGTTAAAATTTGAGTATCACAAATTATAATTTTGAATGATAATAAAAGTAACTAAATTAAAGTTTTAATCGTTCTTTATTAAAACATTTATTTCAACCAAATTTGAACTTAAATTGTCTATTACAAAAAAAAAAACAGTTATATTTTTTAATTTTTTCTTTACAATATTTGAACTTCAGATCATGATCAGGCATTATTTGTATCATTGATATAGTAATAACCATTAACTTAAGAAGAATTTTATTTTGTTATCAAGTAAAAGAAATTCATCAACATTAATACAAACGAAAAAAAGATGGACAAGTGAGTATCGATCAGCCTTACAATAGTTGTAAAGTTTGTCGGTGTAATGAAGTTGTTAGATTTAAATTAGATTATGATTCATTGCATACAAACACTATTTTGAGAGGAAGTAGTGTGTCATCACTCATCATCATAGCATACTTGAATAAATAATCAAATTTAATAGTTCAAATTTTCCATCTGAAAAATAATTTGCGATGTTTTGGGATTTCAATGAATTTTATCAAAATTTGAACTTTAAATGTATATAAAAATGTGTCTGTAATTTTTTTCTGCTATTAAAACAACTTATGAGAAACCTTACATTAAATTTTACTAAATGAAATGAAGCTTTGTCAATAATAATTTTTAAAAAAATTTACAAAATTCCTCATGGCTGTAAATAGCTCAAAAAGAGTAAAAATATTTTGAGCGTTCAATGGTTGTGCGTAATAATTTCCATTTTTCCTTTTTTTTTGTGTTTCCCAGCATATTCAAAAACGAGAAATTTTTAATTTTGACCTATCTAGAAGGTTTATGAATATCTAGAAAATGCGAATATTAACATTTGGTGAAAGATGTCTAACATAATTCTTTTTTCTAGTAATACCAGAAAACCAAATCGATTTTGTCTTAGTAGTGGCTTTACACTAGAATGTGACTTATAATTTTTTTTACCCGGTTATTTTGAAAAGTTTGGTACTTTTTACTTTTACCTCTCGCCAACACCCCCCCCCCCCCCAAAAAAAAAAAGTATCCGCTAGATCCAATTTACTACTAAAATCAACCCCCAAAGTTGAAAATTGAAACAATTTTACTGCCACTTTAGGTGATGACAGACAAAATAAACATATAGCATTATTGTAAAACCAATACTTTCATTGCGCCACTGAGAATCTTTATGCTTGCCGGTTTTACTTTAAAATCTTTTAATAGTAGCTGTTGGTTTAAAATTTAAAGAATGTTCTTTATTTGTAAGGAGCTTCATGGTAACTTAATCATAACATAATGTAATGATAAGCAAAATTATCATTATTTTTTTTTAGAATCTAAATTTGAGCAATTCCCTGCATGTACCTACTTGGCAATTAGTCATTATTTTGATTAGGTAATGACGAACATGTATCTCCATTACTTTATTAGTTATCACCCTTTTATATACGTTAAACATATTACATAATTTATTTATTGAAATAAAGTATAACATAGATGATAGTTATCTTTTCTAATAAATCCTTAATTGATACAATTTTGACCTGTCTGGCCATGGAATAAGGTTTATATGTAGCTGACACCACAAAAAGTAAAAATAATTTCAAATAATAGTTGTTTTAAATCTACTTATACTATGGGCTGTGTATTAATTTAAATTCTAAATTATTTTTACAACAGATACTTAAATTAAAAACTATAGATTTTTATTAATTTGGATCCTTGCTGATTCCAACAGCAGCCGCTCTGACGATACGTTCATGTAATTTATATCCAATTTGGGAAACTACAACCACAATACCTCCTTCTTTGCCTTCAACAACCTAAAAAAAGAAAATATTATTTATAATTCTTTTTTAATTTTTATCTTCACTAAGTTAGTTACCTGTTCAAATAAAGCTTTATGAGAATTGGGATCAAATTTTTCATTTAAAGGATTTATAGACATTAACCCATGTCTCTGAAAAATCTTTAAATAGATACAATTTGTATTATATATTTATTAGTTAATTAATATACATATTGAATATTATATATTATTTTAATCACTAACTGTTTGTAATTGTGATTCAGTAGTCACCAGGCCTTCATATAAATGTTTCAAATGTGGGTTACTATCAGATACTTCTTCTTTTGGAACGCATTCAGTAGCTTTACTTAAACTATCGGCAACCTAGAAAAAGTATAGTTATTACTTATGAATTATAATAAAATATTTAGGTATTTTAATATCTTAAATTGATCTGTTATTCTTACATCTAGCAAGTCTTTACAAAATCCTTGAATCGCATAAATTTTAGCATCAGCTGTTTCTTTAATAGTACGTTTGCGTATGTTTTCTGTTTCGGCTAAATACCTCCTAACTTTTTCCTATAATATACAATAAAGTATCGTAAATATTATCTTCTAAATGTATTCTATGTACGATATTTGAAACATACAGTTAAATTTTTATTTTCCTCAAGTAAATCTTCATTTTGTTTTACAAGGGCTTCAATATCAATCTTATCTTTACTTTCTTTTAATGGTTCTTTACTACTATCAGCTGCAGCATCTGACACTTTACGATGAAGAATGTTGTAGCCCATCAAACCATTTATCCTTAACAGAAAATAACAAAATTCCATTAAATTCAGAGTTTGCATACTTATAAAAATGTAATTTCACCAATTAGTGAAAAAAGTTCTAGACAATAAATATACAATATTATAACATATTTTTACAACATCCAATGCCCAGACACAGTTTAACCTTTCTATTTTTAACATATAGTTGAACAATAGAAAATATCCAATAATTAAGAGCCAATATTATAACAATAAGTATATCGTACATGCACTTTCAACATATTTCTTATATTTTCATAGTGAATACCTTTATGGCGACCTTGATACTTTCTATGCCGAATCCACACAGGACAAGGAAACACTAACAAAACATAAACTCAACTTTTCATACATACAATTTAACTTACCTACTTTCCGTTGCCAATGAAGTACCCAAGATAGATCTACAGATCCGGAATGGATAATTTATAATTGAAGTCATTTTAGTAAAAAAATTGTACTGTAAGTGTAAAATACAACTAAATTTTTAATTTTCAAGAATGAAATTTCAGAATTTCGCCACTGAATGACAGATATACAGAATAAGTGTTTAACTTTCAGCAATCGGCATTCAGCATGCGGTTTTTGCATACACAATACTGTCAATAGTCAATAGTCAATCTTATTACACATTTACACATAAAGATAACACATTATAATTTTTATATATTATCGGCTATAATTGTATTTTAGCCATTATCACGGTCTTTGAAGATAAGACGATTGTCCATGGCCGAGTTATTCAATCACGGAACAAAATAATATATTATGTATCGTGGAAGGTGGGACAAAAGGCGACTAGGGGCAACTAGGGTTAAAATTCTGGGGGCTACTGCCCACATAAATTAACTATTAATTTAAAATAACACAGAGGCTTAAATCTCAATCAATAAGGGATATTTTTGAGGGGGGGATAAGTCGCAGTCCCCCCACCCCATTATTTCCGCCCCTGATAAAGAAGTGATCCAATCTTTGAGTAATTGAGTAATAAAACTGGCATACTGGGCTGTCTGGGCATAAAACTTAAATCGCAGATAGAAATATAGAATGGTAATACCACAGAATAAATTAACACGATGTCTACACGGATTCCGCGATTTTTTTTTTGGAACAAAAGTCTAATGGATCAAATGTTTCGTGGAACTAGTCAACTACTGATATTGTCCCTTTCCAAAAGGTAAAAACCATGATGTAGAATTTATCTACATCGTGGTAAAAACAATTAAAAAGTTTCAGCTACGTTTTGTCGATTGTGAGAAATACGAGTTTATCTTTTGATATCATCGATTTGTGTTTGTTTGATAATATAATGAATAATTCTTGTGCACCTAGTACTTACAACTACCCATAGAATATAGATAGTACCTACATCGGCTTACATCAGCATTCAGCAGCTTGACTGTCTAGACCATATAACATTCTAATACATTTATACATGTTCTCGGAGTGTTAAAAATTGTTATTATTGTATTACATTATATTTTATATTGGCATTTGAATTTAAGTACTTGAACGGATACAGTTTGGATATGGTATAAGTTAAATTCGAGATTTCCATAGGTAACCGTTTTTGGAATTACATACTACATTTTATGTTAACCTCGGTACTCGTTTATTAGTGTTTGTATGTATTCTAAATAAAAAAAATAATTAATTCTGAAAATAGTAACTAGACATAATTTTATTTAACTTAATGTATGTTATAGGTACTTTATTATGTGAATTATACAATTAACTCCAATAGCCAAAATGAATAGTCAAAATTTTACATTAGCTGAAAATCTCATACCTTCTTCATATGTCCAGCAAGCAGCTAGTGCTTTGAGAACAAGAGAAAACTTGGCTAAAACACTAATGGAACAAGTATGTTTTAAGTTCTATAAAATAAAATATAGTGTTAGATATTTATAGTAAGTAATACTATGTCATTAACATATATTTATTTCTATAATTATACGACTCAAAGCTTATGATAAAATAAGTTTGAGTGAGAGTTTTCATTCATTAATAAGTATACATACACTTTAAATAACTATCTACAAAAAACTTTTTAGATATTAAGTAGGTACTTTAAAAACTTTAAAATTTCTTATTATGAGTTAGTTGAGATTAACTTTACATTTCTTTTTCAGATAAAATATTTAATTTAAATAGGTAACTTATTGAAATTGGGTCAGTATTAATTGTTTGTTAATATGTTTCACAGCTTTATATCCTAGATTCATATGTTTATAGTAATTTATAAATTAATATAGGATTCACATCATCTGGGGATCAACCAAAATATCAAATCTAAAATTATTTCAATCTTTCCAATCTATAAACCTACATCTATTAATAAAAGCTCTGTGGTACTATAGCAATAAAACTCTCCATAATGACCTCAATATTCCTACTTTTTCTGCACTTGCTTCCACTTCAACACGTTAGCCCAATCAAATCCCCTAATATCAAATCTTGTTTGTTAAAGAGAAAATGGCCTGATAATGGTTGGGACGATGCAACAATCGAAATGTTTCTATCAAACTTAGCACTGATGGACAGTAATAACTTCAAAGAACATGCTGGTGTTGGTGAACGAGAAGGACGCATAGCTTGCAATTTAGTTGCAAAACGACATTTTCTTATGACTCATGGTATTGGCAGATCTGAAAATATTGCTGAAGTTCAACCTAATGCCACAGGATCTAGTTTAATGATAAAATTAGTCAACGCAATGCTCTTAGAGTCTATCCGTTTTATGGGTAAAGAAATTTATTTTATACTTACATTGGAGAATTTATTTAATATATTATGTTTCTAAACACGAGTATGAAGTAATCTTATGTATATTTAATACATTTAATTTCAATTTAGGAGTTGCTAGTGCCACTGGCTGTTTCATGGTTCCAATGGCTACTGGAATGAGTTTGATGTTATGTATGTTAACTTTGAAACAAGATAGGCCTGGGGCCAAATTTGTACTATGGTCCAGAATAGATCAAAAATCATGTTTCAAGTGCATCATTACAGCTGGTAATTCATAATCTTGTAATTCATAAATTATAATTATTTATTTTTAATAAATCTACTCAGGTCTGCAACCAATAATCATAGACCCTATACAATGTGGTGATGAGTTACATACAGATGTACCAGCAATTGAAGCACAATTATCGACACTCGGATCAGATAACATAGTGTGTATCCTTAGCACAACTAGTTGTTTTGCCCCAAGAGTATCAGATTCGCTTGAAAAAGTTGCTTGTCTTTGTCAAAAATATAATGTACCACATTTAGTCAATAATGCATATGGTTTACAATCTACCAGACTGATGCACTCAATCCAAGATGCTTCAAGGTGAATATAAATTTAAGATATTGTTTTTGACTATTCTTTATTTATCATATATTTTTTTTAGAAAAGGGAGGATTGATGTTTTTGTTCAAAGTACTGATAAAAACTTTTTAGTTCCTGTTGGAGGTGCTATTATTGCTGGGTTTGACAAAACTATTTTAGATAAAATTACTAGAAATTATCCAGGTATATTATTTACATTATTACTAAATTTATTAATAACAATTTAATTTTCTAAAATAATTAGGAAGAGCATCTTGTAGTCCTGTTATGGATATCTTCATAACATTGCTGTCATTGGGTACTAATGGTTATAAAGAATTGATAACACAGCGTAAAGAAGTACACCAACATTTACGAAAAGAACTCGGAAAAATTGCAGCTAAATATGGAGAACGTTTATTGGATATACAAAATAATCCTATATCTATAGGTAATATAACATCTTAACAGTGAATTACAAATATCTAACAAAATATTTGTTTTAGCTATGACATTGACATCATTAAGTGTTCCAAATGCGAATGAAACTGATACAAAAAAATTGAGTCAGCTAAGCTCCATGATGTATATGCGCCATGTTACAGGTTGCAGAGTTATATCATCTGTTGAAGTCAAAGATGTCTGTGGATATAAATTTGATGGTTTGTTAAACTTTATATGTTTATAGATTAATATTGCATAACGTAAATTATATTATTCTGTTTCTATTTTAAGGTTGGGGAGCACACAAATCCAACTACCCTTGTCCCTACATTACAGCTGGGGCTTCAATAGGTGTTAAAAAGTCTGATATTGATTTGTTTGTACAAAAATTGGATAAAGTTATTGCTAGGTTAAGAAAATCGCCGCCATCCAATCTGGAAACTCCATCATCATCTGAAGGTAATGATACCACATCAATGCGACGAACAGCAACAGTTGCATCTAGCTATCGAAGCACAGTAAATGGAGTTTACTCTACTGGAGATGGCAGTACATCAACTTCACGCACATCTAGTGTTGATAACTTACGTAAACATTAATAGTTATGTTTACATTCTAGACATCATTTAAACTGCATATTATGTATGTATGTTCTATTTTAGTCAATTTTTGCTTGTAGAGCAGAAAGGGATCTCTGGAGCAGTTATATTTTAAAATATTCAGTATTGAATCCTTAACTCTTAGTAGTTGGTTATTTTATATGGTTCAGATTATAAAACTATTAGATGATGCCTTTCACCATGACGTGTTAGGATTTCTAGAATATATTTTATCATATTATATTCAGGTGCCTATAGACTGAATGACTCAATAATTCCATTCATGCAAATATAATGAAAGGAAAAGCTTAAGTTTTAAATTTAATTAAGTTAATATTTTTTAAAATCGAAGAAGTCTAGTCATAGTATACCAAGGTAAAAAATAAATGTTCCTTATTATTTGTATGAGCAAGAAGAATTTTTTTCTCTTTAAATAAATAAGTATTATAATTTCTTATAAATTTGGTCCATTTTTAGTAATTTTTACACATAACTGTTCAATAAAAATGTATTGTTTAAAAAATTCCCATTTAATATGCCATTGGATATTAATTATTATCATAGATAATTAATGGTTGTTTGGTATGATCTAAATACACATTGGATTAATATAAAATATTGATACTTGTTATACTTAAGTACATTTTTTTCTCAAATTGTATTTTATATGAGAATTAATTGCGGGGTATTTTATTTTAAAGATCAATTATTTTCATTCAGATAAAAAAGCCTAAAAATAATACTAAAATGGAATAGATAGTTAGTTGTTGTCTTAATTCAATTTCGTTTTTTTTTTACTCATGTAACACTTATGGCATAGTAAATTAAAAATATATGTACTACATGCATCTAAAATAGATTTTTGTATTTTAAAAATTTGAATTGCCTTTATATTTTATTTTAATTAAATTTTAAATTATATTGAAGTACGGTGGTTATTAAAATAAGTGCAATAAAACACTATTCAGAGAAATATTGCTTTGAAGCTTAACTTAATTAATAATTGTACTTTAGAATTCATTCCAGAAATCCCTTATAAGTTAAAATACACTACTTGAGTATTTTGAAGAACAAGATTTATAGTCCATTTATAAGGTAATAACAATGTGTTGTACAAAAAAATTAAACGTTAAAATTTAATATAAATTAAAGGTGCTTTTTTTTTTAGTATAATAAGAACAGTTTTAGGCAAGTTCCCTTTTTTAAATTTTTGTTAATCACATTGCTCAATATTAATAGTTTTACATATTCTAGTCTGATGCTTTATTTCTGATAACGTTTTAATATTTCAGCCAATATTTTGAGTTTTTGGCGAGTACTAATTTATATAATTATGGTTGTACATTATGTATTTTTATTTTACTTAGATTTATTACAATTTGTTAAATATTGAGGTACAAAATGGTTTAGTAATATTAACTACTTTGTAATATGGTATTGTGGATGGAGTATAACACTGATAAATACTTATCTAATACTTAGGTAATTTTATTTCTAAAATAGTTGTATTGGAAACTATGTCACAGATTACCAATAGGCAATAACTAAAGTTTTTTTTATTCCCTGTCATTGATTGGATTATTTATTTACCAAACCTTATCTAGTTATTTTTTTATTATTATTTTGAATAGTTAAAAACCTAATATTATCTGTAATTTAAAAAGAATCTAAATATTCTGGTTTTAAAGGATATTGTTGAATAAATGTTATATATTGAGAATCAGACGACTTGTAATAAAATAATTAATGTTATAGTTTCTAAAACCATAATTTTCATTATTTTGTATTGTATAATACTGAGCCCATAACAATTTTTAACAAACATTTAATATGCCATGTTTGTAATAAAATATTATAATGTTGTTATGTAAGCTAAAATAAGTTGTGAAAATCTATGATAAAACTACATAAGACTGCAATATTATAACATTCCTATATCTGAACTATTTGGAAATCTTATTTACCAAGGTCCATGATCAGGTATCTTTTTTTCACTCTGTATTAGTATTTTATTTAGATGAAGCATTTTTCCTAGTTGGTTTTTTTTAAAGTTATTTAGTTACTTGTTATTTATTTATTTTAAAATTGTTTTACCGTTTAATTAAATGTATAGAATTTACTATATTATTTATTATAATACCCAAAGCTTTGGGATGAGCACATAGAGATAGTGTATTGGTGTGCAATTTGTAGCCAAAGAAGAGTTGTACTATTTATTAAAGAGGCAATATTTTTTTTTTTCAATTTTCTCACAGTATTTAATGACATAATTTTGACCTGAGCTTTGGGTTCCTTTTTTATTTACGATTTATGAATAACAAATCAAGTCATAAGAGCATTTATTCTATAATTTGTTTCATATTGATTACAATCTAATAACAAACCATATTTAAACTGAATAGTGGAGAATAGTAAAATAATAGACGACTCTAAAACGCGACTCTCAAACTTTTTTTTTCGCGTAACACTAAAATATATTATCAATCGGTCACGTACCACTGATGATTTAGAATAAAACGATACAATCTTTACATAGTTAAATACATTCATTTTAAATAAAAACGCAGTACAAAATTATTTAAATATTTTAAATATTATTAATACAAATTTATTATTATTTATTTATTAATACAAATTTATTAGTGTTTAAAAATTAAGATATGAATTAATTAACATCTAATTATCAATCTAATATTTATTTTTAATTTTTCGTTCTGCTACCATGCGGCCTTCTGCTTACCACCATGTAGTTTTTCGCTTACCACTAGTGGTATGCTTACCGCAGTTTGAGAACCGCTGCTCTAAAACATTTGCCCTGTACACTAATTCCTATGGATACCTATCATTGACTGAAAAATCTATTAATACAATATATTTGTAGTTTTTTTTTATTACAATTTGTTCTTCGATTTCTGTCTAGTTAACTCTATGTACTCGCCAAACTCTAAACATAAATGTTAAATACAAAAAATGGTTCAGTGGTTGAACATTGATATTGAATTATTAAAAGTATATTTTATTAAAAGGAGATGGAATAACATTAAAACTTTTGGAGGCTGAACTTTTTTAATTTAATATTTCTTCCATACATTTTTAAGTTAAAAGTATTTTTTTTTTATGTATAGTTTTCCGTCATGTCTTTGTGATATTATTGAAAACATTTAGATTTAAAATTGTAGTCACTTTACATTATTGGCTCAAGGTAATGCATCTAAAGCGTTTTTATATATATTTTTTTTTTCAATATTCTGTTCCACCACTTTTATTGATTTGTATTGTATAAACTATAAAATAAATATTACTATTTTTATCGGACAATCACTTAGTTTGAATATAATATATTTAAAGTAAAACATTTCTAGTTTATTTACCGTTTAATTTGCATCAACTTAGCCAAATAATTGTTATTAACAAAGAGTAAAAAAATTGTGTAAATATATTGTTTTGCTTGTACAATTTTTTTTTATAACACTGTGCAATGTGCAATAATTTAAAATTTGTAGTATCACTATATTTATGTGTATGTTATTTACCTATATTAATATTACATACATTTTGTCCACATTAAGTATTAGTTTGTTGATTTTTGAAGTGGCACAAGAACACTTGAGTAAAATAAAAAAAACCATTTTACTAAAATAATTATGTTTTGTTTTTTTATTTTCATATTTTACTGAAACACATTAGTACATTACACGATAGATTTTAGTGTCAATTATTAGTATTGACGCCTGACGGAAATCAGAAAGAGATGGTTCCTACCAGCTCACAGAATATTGTTTTTATCAAATCAGTTAAATAATTAAAATACAATCAAATCGCAGCTAATCTAATTGCAAAAAATGAACCATATTTTTAAAACCATTTTTCAATTGATTTTATATCATTGAAGCATTGAATAATATTTAACACATGCATTACAATGACCCACTTGACAACTACAGTACTGGCTTACAACAAGATAGTATCATCTTTCCCGTCTTAAAAAAAAAAAATTTGCACTTCTTATGTAGATATCTATGACAAGTAATCGCTCCATAGAAAAGAGATTAAACGTTTGTTCCCTAGTACCTAGCTGTGGTATGCCTACCGACTCAAGTCTTTAAACTCGAGGTTAGTGTTTAAATGTTGATTCAGTTAGGCTGAATAAAATTCCAAAACTTACTGTGCCCATTGAACTAGATAGGTAAGTACCAGTAACCAATAAATATGTTGTCCTAAACAGTGGCGTATATGAGGGGGGGCGATAGGGGCGATCNCCCCCCCCCGAGAGATCTTTGAAAATAATATTTTATGATTGTTGAACTTATAAGTGTTTCTAAATATTTTAATTAATAAGTAAATAATTTTTTTTGGATGAGAAATTTTTGTGATAACTGTCAACTGATAATACATAATACAACCGGATTACTGATTAGTGATTGCTCTATGGTACGCAAAGATGGAACATTTGGCCCGAGGACTGGGTGACGTAGTCGTACCAAACGAATGATGGAACGGAACGTCATCTGTCGAAATGGTTACCTAATTAATGGTCACGATGGGTCATTTCGTTATTGTGATAAACTGATAACTTATCTGATACTTATCTATGAAAAATTAAATATGATATTTATGAAAATGTGTTGTGTTTGTTCGACTGTTCCGTTCGCCTGTTCGCCATACAATCGTTATTCGTACACTTGCGACTTGCAACTGATTTAACATCCCGTATCCCCGTGCACGCTATATTTTATATACGCAAACAAGGTTCTAGGGGAATAAAAAAAAAAATCAAGTTGTCAAGTTTTTCGAGTTATCGCAACTCGACTGTATAAAGCCTTACTAACAACCTTGAAACAAATGTTTTCATTATTCGGAATGTGCCATATGCTTAATTGCTCTGTATTTAGTTTTGAGTAATAGTAGTTACATTCTCTCTTTGTTATTTTCGTTTACTACTCTCCTCGACTTCACACATCCACTTTTTGGCTTTTCCACTTCTTATTATTTATATCCTTATATTAGTCATATCTGCTACTTTATATTATTTTGTCAATAGGTTAAAAACTTGGCTGAGATCAAAAATGGGCCAGGATCGGCTTACAGGGTTGGCATTATTAAACATTCACAGATCTATAGAAATAAATGTTGATGATGTAATTGATCGATTCACAAGTCTTAAAAAAAGAAATATAGATTTTGTTTTGTAATAAAAATTCTTTAATAAAAGTGCTAAATTAAATAATAAAAATGCTTTGTTTTTTTATATGTCTAAAAAAAATGTTTTTAATTGGTAGGGCGGTTTACTCCTCTTAATATCGCCCCCCCCCTAGGTGAAGTCTCAAATACGCCACTGGTCCTAAACCGGAATAATTATTTTATTGAGCCCTTTTTAATTTTTGCGGATTAATGGTGTGGACCTTATTTTGATAAATTATTAATTGATACTTACTGGACTACGGAATGTTGGCCACAATGA